ATCCACCAAATTTCAAGTCTGAGAGAAAATCATATTTGGGTGAAAAAAAGCGTAAGGGTCCCCCCTTACGCGTTTTTTCCAGGGTCGAGACAAAACGCGATAAATGCGATTTTGTTCAAAATCACAATATAGGTACTCCTGAAGATGCTGATTCCGGTCCTATAATCGAAAGTTCGATTGCGGAAATATTAGTGGCCGTAATGATGCTTGGAATATTTTAATGAAATTTTTCTCAATACTTATTTCAGTACTCGCAAACTATTGGTATCTCAGGTGATTGGGTGGTGTTGTTATGTTTTTTGGATGTACTTAATCATTGAAATTAATCCCACCAAATTTCAAGTCTGAGAGAAAATCATATTTGGGTGAAAAAAAGCGTAAGGGTCCCCCCTTACGCGTTTTTTCCAGGGTCGAGACAAAACGCGATAAATGCGATTTTGTTCAAAATCATAGTATAGGTACTCCTGAAGATGCTGATTCCGGTCCTATAATCGAAAGTTCGATTAGGGAATAATTAGTGGTCGTAATGATGCTTGGAATATTTTAATGAAATTTTTCTCATTACTTATTTCAGTACTTGCAAACTATTGGTTTCTCAGGTGATTGGGTGGTGTTATTATGTTTTTCTGGATGTACTTAATTACTAAAATTAATCCCACCAAATTTCAAGTCTGAGAGAAAATCATATTTGGGTGAAAAAACGCGTAAGGGTCCCCCCTTACGCGTTTTTTCCAGGGTCGAGACAAAACGCGATAAATGCGATTTTGTTCAAAATCACAGTATAGGTACTCCTGAAGATGCTGATTCCGGTCCTATAATCGAAAGTTCGATTGGGGAATAATTAGTGGTCGTAATGATGCTTGGAATATTTTAATGAAATTTTTCTGAATACTTATTTCAGTACTCGCAAACTATTGGTATCTCAGGTGATTGGGTGGTGTTGTTATGTTTTTCTGGATGTACTTAATCACTGAAATTAATCCCACCAAATTTCATGTCTGAGAGAAAATTATATTTGGGTGAAAAAAAGCGTAAGGGTCCCCCCTTACGCGTTTTTTCCAGGGTCGAGACAAAACGCGATAAATGCGAGTTTGTTCAAAATCACAGTATAGGTACTCCTGAAGATGCTATATCCGGTCCTATAATCGAAAGTTCGATTGCGGAAATATTAGTGGCCGTAATGATGCTTGGAATATTTTAATGAAATTTTTCTCAATACTTATTTCAGTACTCGCAAACTATTGGTATCTCAGATGATTGGGTGGTGTTGTTATGTTTTTCTGGATGTACTTAATTACTGAAATTAATCCCACCAAATTTCAAGTCTGAGAGAAAATCATATTTGGGTGAAAAAACGCGTAAGGGTCCCCCCTTACGCATTTTTTCCAGGGTCGAGTCAAAACGCGATAAATGCGATTTTGTTCAAAATCACAGTATAGGTACTCCTGAAGATGCTGATTCCGATCCTATAATCGAAAGTTCGATTGCGGAATAATTAGTGGTCGTAATGATGCTTGGAATATTTTAATGAAACTTTTCTCATTACTTATTTCAGTACTCGCAAACTATTGGTTTCTCAGGTGATTGGGTGGTGTTGTTATGTTTTTCTGGATGTACTTAATTACTGAAATTAATCCCACCAAATTTCAAGTCTGAGAAAAAATCATATTTGGGTGAAAAAAAAAGCGTTTTTAAGTCGGAACAAAACACCCGATAAATGCGATTTTGTTCAAAATCATAGTATAGTACTCTGAAGATGCTGATTCCGGTCCTATAATCGAAAGATCGATTGGGGAATAATTAGTGGTCGTAATGATGCTTGGAATATTTTAATGAAATTTTTCTCAATACTTATTTCAGTACTCGCAAACTATTGGTTTCTCAGGTGATTGGTTGGTGTTATTATGTTTTTCTGGATGTACTTAATTACTGAAATTAATCCCACCAAATTTCAAGTCTGAGAGAAAATCATATTTGGGTGAAAAAACGCGTAAGGGGGGACCCTTACGCGTTTTAAGGTAACGCGATAAATGCGATTTTGTTCAAAATCACAGTATAGGTACTCCTGAAGATGCTGATTCTGATCCTATAATCAGAAGTTCGATTGCGGAATAATTAGTGATGTGGTCGTAATGATGCTTGGAATATTTTAATGAAATTTTTCATTACTTATTTCAGTACCAAACAATTGGTTTCTCAGGCGTTGGGTGAATTGTTGTTATGTTTTTCTAGATGTACTTAATCACTTAAATTAATCCCAACAAATTTCAAATCTGAGAGAAAATCATATTTGGGTGAAAAAACGCGTAAGGGGGGACCCTTACGCGTTTTTTCCAGGGTCGAGACAAAACACGATAAATGCGATTTTGTTCAAAATCACAGTATAGGTACTCCTGAAGATGCTGATTCCAGTCCTATAATCGAAAGTACGATTGCGGAATAATTAGTGGTCGTAATGATGCTTGGAATATTTTAATGAAATTTTTCTCATTACTTATTTCAGTACTCGCAAACTATTGGTTTCTCAGGTGATTGGGTGGTGTTGTTATGTTTTTCTGGGTGTACTTAATTACTGAAATTAATCCCACCAAATTTCAAGTCTGAGAGAAAATCATATTTGGGTGAAAAAACGCGTAAGGGTGGATGGACCCTTACGCGTTTTTTCCAGGGTCGAGTCAAAACGCGATAAATGCGATTTTGTTCAAAATCACAGTATAGGTACTCCTGAAGATGCTGATTCTGATCCTATAATCGAAAGTTCGATTGCGGAATAATTAGTGGTCGTAATGATGCTTGGAATATTTTAATGAAATTTTTCACATTACTTATTTCAGTACTCGCAAACAATTGGTTTCTCAGGTGATTGGGTGGTGTTGTTATGTTTTTCTGGATGTACTTAATTACTGAAATTAATCCCACCAAATTTCAAGTCTGAGAGAAAATCATATTTGGGTGAAAAAAGCGTAAGGGTCCCCCCTTACGCGTTTTTTCCAGGGTCGAGACAAAACGCGATAAATGCGATTTTGTTCAAAATCATAGTATAGGTACTCCTGAAGATGCTGATTCCGGTCCTATAATCGAAAGTTCGATTGCGGAACAATTAGTGATCGTAATGATGCTTGGAATATTTTAATGAAATTTTTCTCAATACTTATTTCAGTACTCGCAAACTATTGGTTTCTCAGGTGATTGGGTGGTGTTGTTATGTTTTTCTGGATGTACTTAATTACTAATTAATCCCACCAAATTTCAAGTCTGAGAGAGGAAAATCATATTTGGGTGAAAAAAAAAAGCGTAAAGGTCCCCCTTACCTACCTACACGCGATAAATGCGATTTTGTTCAAAATCATAGTATAGGTACTCCTGAAGATGCTGATTCCGGTCCTATAATCGAAAGTTCGATTGGGGAATAATTAGTGGTCGTAATGATGCTTGGAATATTTTAATGAAATTTTTCTCATTACTTATTTCAGTACTTGCAAACTATTGGTTTCTCAGGTGATTGGGTGGTGTTATTATGTTTTTCTGGATGTACTTAATTACTGAAATTATTCCCACTAAATTTCAAGTCTGAGTGAAAATCATATTTGGGTGAAAAAACGCGTAAGGGTCCCCCCTTACGCGTTTTTTCCAGGGTCGAGTCAAAACGAGATAAATGCGATTTTGTTCAAAATCACAGTATACTTCACCTGAACAACATACTTGTGCCCCTCATTGAACAATTTTCTGACAAAGCACAGCATCCCAGTGGTCCCCCACCCTCTGTACTCTCCAGATCGGGTCTCCTGTGACTTTTGGCCGTTTCCGAGGTTCAAGTTGAACCTTAACTCTCTGGCTGCGGGAGGGTACCTGAAGCTGAATAAAATTGTCTGTCTGTAGCCAGAGCAAAATCGCAAGTGCACGAAAGGGTTAATGGGTAGAAGTTCATGGACAGAATGGAGATCCAGGACACATCGTAGAAGGTGCTCTCCAGCCTCACCAACAAGGATTTTCAGATCTGCTTCCAGAAGTGGGAGGAGTTGATTTAGGGCTGCATTGAGGCTTCTGCAGAATATTTTAAGGATGACAAAAGTTACACTTATATCTTGGAAAAATGAAGATTTAATGAAGCCAGTCTGGCAACTTTTGGATCACACCTCATATGTCATCAGTTCTGTGATAGAGAATTGTGTTAGTTAATAGTTGAAATAATAAGGGTCATAAAGGCACACATTTTAATAATAACAAAACTGAATACAACAATCACCACCTGTTCCCTCAACACTGCCCAGTTTTGATTCCTGGGAGGGCCTCTGGGGGCGCCGCTGCCCCTAATGAGGTCCCCTATGGGTGCCCCCTTGGGATTGCCCCTGGGTGTGCCACTGCCCTGGCAGGGCCCCTGGAGTTGCAGATGGCCTTGGGAGGGCCCCTGGGAAGTCCCTTAGGGGCGCCGTTGCCCCTGGGTGGGCCTCTGGGGGCACCACTGCCCCTATAAGGTTCTCTTGGGGCGCTGCTGCCCCTTGGAAGGCCCCTAGGGGCGCTACCATCCCTAGCAAGGCCCTGGGTTCACCGTTACCCATAAGGAGAGCCCCTGGGTGTGCTGCCGCCCTTGAGAGGGCCACTGGGAGGGCTATTGGGGTTGCTACCTCCCCTGGAAGGGCCCCTGGGGCTGCCAACGCTCCTGGAAGGGCCCCTGGGGGCACCACCGCCGCTGGAAGGTCTCTCGTGGGCGCCAACGCACCAGGAAGGTCCCCTGGGGGTGGCACAGAACCTTGGAGGGAACCTGGGGGCCCAGCTGCCTCTGGGAGGTACCCTGTGGGTGGCGCTGCCACTGGGAGGGCTCCTGGGAGTGCTACCGCCCCTGGAATGGCCCCTGGTGTTACAGATGCCCATGGAAGGGCCCCTATGGGCACCGCCGCCCTTGAGAGGGCACCTGGGGGCGCCACCGCCCCTGAAAAGTTCCCTGTGTGCGCCATATCCCCTGTGAGGGTCCTTGGAGGTGCTACCGACCCTGGGAGGGCCTATGGGGATGCGGCATCACGGGGGATGGCCCCTGGAAGATCCCCTGGGGGTGCCACTGCCCCTGGGAGGTCCCCTGGGAGCACTGTCGCCAAAGGGAGGGCCTCTAGGAAATCCCCTGTGGGCGCCACCGCCCCTGGGAGGGCCACTGGGGGTGTCACAACTCCTGGAAGAGCCCTTGAGGGCGTCACCGCCCTTGGAAGGTCGCTTGTGGGCGCCAACTCACCTGGCAGGGCCCCTGGGGGGGGGCCACAGCCCCTTGGAGAGAACTTTGGGGCGCAGCTGTCTATGGGAGGTACCCTGGGGGCACCGCTGCCAGTGGGAGGGCCTCTGGGGGCGCTATTTGTCCCTGATAGGGCCCCTGGGGTTGCAGATGCCCCTGGGAGGGTCGCTAGGGGCACCGCCACCCATGAAAGGGCCCCTGGGGGCGCCACCGGCCCTTGGAAGTCCCCTGTGGGCGCCAGCTCCCCTGGGATGGCCCCTAGGGTCGCCATCTCCGGGAGGGCCCCTGGGGGTGCTTCCACCCCTAAAGGAGGACCCATGAGGGCGCCACCGCTCCTGGAAGGGGCCTTGTTGGCGCCAATGCCCCTTGGAGGTCCCTTGGGGGCAGTTGTTCTTGCACTGTTTAGAACTCTGGAAGATGTGACGTTAAATAAATATACCATCTATCGCATTCCCAGTATCATCACATCCTGAACAATGAAAAAGGGGAAGACATATCCGACAGGAAAACATAAGTTGGGGTGTTGTGCTGACTGATTGCTCTGTTCTTCTGTTGGTTTATTTCGGTGTATTTACATTTTAGTCCACCAATCACAGTTAAGTAAGGGATAGTAGGACGTATGCAATATGTATGACTGCAATCAAGCCCCTGGGGGCGGCGACGCCCCTGTGAGGTTCCTGGGGATGCCTCTGCACCTGGGAGGGCCCCTGAGGGTGCAGCTGCCAATGGGAGGACCCCTGAGGGTGCAGCTGCCCCTGGGAGGGCCCCGGGGGCGACACTGCCCTTGGGAGGGCCCATAAGAGCACCGACGTCCCTTGGAAAGCCCCTGGTGGCGCCTCCACCTCTGGGAAGGCCCTTGTGGGGCGTCACTGCCCATGGGAAGGCTCCTGGAGCCGCCACCACCCCTTGGAGGCCACACACTGCCATTGGGAGGGCTCCTGGGGCGCCTTTGTCTGTGAGTGGGCTTTTGGGGGCGCCTCCACCCCTAAGGAGGCCCCCTAGGAAGTCCCCTGCCGTTCCTGGGAGGGCCCCTGGGGCTGCCACCGCCCCTGGAAAGTCCCCTGGGGGCAATACCACCCCTTGGAAAGATCCTTGGGTCACCACCTTTCCTGGGAGGGCCCCTGGTGATATCGATGCCCGGGGGATGGCATCCTGTGAGATCCCTTGGGGGTGCCACTGCCCCTGGGAGGTCCCCTGGGAGCACCGCCGCAATTGGGAGGTCCCCTAGGAAATCCTCTGTGGGCGCCACCGACCTTGAGAGGGCCCCTGGGAGTTCCACCGCCCCTGGAAGGTTCCTTGTGGGCTCCAAGGCACCTGGCAGGGCCCCTAGGGGCGCCACAGCCCCTTGGAGGGAACCTTGTGGCGCAACTGCCCATGGGAGGCACCCTGGGGGCACCGCTGCCACTGGGAGGGCCCCTGGGGGCGCTACATGCTCCTTGTAGGGCTCCTGGGGTTGCAGATGCCCCTGGGAGGACCCCTAGGAGCACTGCCGCCTTTGAGAGGGCCCCTGGGAGCACCACTGCCCCTGGGAAATCCCCTGTGTGCGCCACCTTTCGTGGGATGGCCTCTGGAGGCGCCACCGACCCTGGAAGGTGCCTTGGTGGCGCCATTGCCCCTTGGAGGTCCCTTGGGGGCAGTTGTTCTTGCACTATTTAGAACTCTGAAAGATATGACGTTAAATAAATATACCGTCTATTGCATTCCCAGTATCATCACATCCTGAACAATGAAAAAGGAGAAGACATATCCAACAGGAAAACATAAGTTGGGGTGTTGTGCTGACTGATTGCTCTGTTCTTCTATTGCAGTGGTTCTCAACCTTGTTTGCCCCATGCACCCCTTTCACCATGTCAGAATGTCATTCCCCCCTCCTTTCCAAGATTGTCTGCCTCAAAAAGTGCATTCCAAATAATATGCATATAATACTGAAAATCCTTTATTTTTTCCATATTAGTATATATACATTTACAATTTTACATGGATTATTTTTATAGTGGAGTTTTACAAATTAAATGCCAATTGAAAATGTTGATGGATTTATAAAACTTGAATAAAAGTAAAATAGTTTTTTTTTATTTATAATGAATTACTTAACAGACCAAATTGAAGCATAATGCAATAAACAAAAAGTTCAATAGAATACCAGGATATTGTAAATTTGTAATTAATTTTATTCAGATGAAGATTACAGTCAATGAGAAACCTGTGATTGTTTTTTCTTCGCCAATTCTGGGATACACGGAGGAGTGCTTGAAAGGGCACAACGCAGGTCATTTTCTACCTCTAATCTACTACGTTGCTTCGTTTTAATTTGCAACAGAGTTGAAAAGCCTGACTCACAAAGATATGTCGACACAAACGGAAGCAAAGCACAGATAGCTCTTTCTGCCACTTTTGGGTAGGAATCGCGCATCAAGGGCCAAAATTCTGTGATTGATTTCTCATCGAACATATCTCTTTGCCCTGAATTTTCTGAAAACCTGGACTTCTGTAAATTTCTGGTTGAGAACCCCTGTTCTATTGGTTTATTTTGGTGGATTTCCATTTTAGTCCACCAATCACAGTTAAGTAAGGGATAGCTGGACGTATGCAATATGCACGACACTGCGATCAAGCCCCTGGGGGCGGCGACGCCCCGGTGATGTCTCCTGGGGACGCCTCCGCCCCTTAGAGGGCCCCTAAGCGTGCCACCGCCCCGGGAAGTTCTCTCGGGGCGCCACAGCACCTTTTTGGGAACCTGGGGGTAGCCGCCACCTCTAAGGAGGTCCCCCTGGGAGTGCCTCCATTGCCCCTGAGGTGGCCTCTGGGGGCGGTGCCGCCCCTGGGAGGTCCCCTGGGGGCGCCGTTATCAGGGAGGGACCCTAGGGGCACCTCCGCCCTTGGAAGGGCCCTTATGGGCGACACCGACCCTGGAACGTCCCTTCTGGATGCCTCCACCCCTGGGAGGGCCCTTTGGGGCGGCACCGCACCTGGAATGGCCCCTAGGGGTGCCACCACCCCTTTGGAGGGAACCTGGGGTCGCCGCCACCGCTAAGTAGGCCTCATGGGAGGCCTCCGTTGCCCCTGTTGGCGCCGGTGCCCTTGGGAGGTCCTCTGGGTGTGCTACTGCACCTAGGGACGGCACCGCCCCTGGGAAGGCCCCTGGGGTCACAGAAGCCCTTGGGGGCGCCACAGTCACTGGCAGGGACCCGTTTTGCAAATTACCCCAAAGGAGAGCGCCTGGGTGCACCACCGCCTTCGGGAGGTCCTCTGGGGGTAGTTGTTTTTGTACTATTTAGAACTTTGGAAGATATGACGTTAAATAAATATACCGTCCATCGCATTCCCAGTATCATCACACCCTGAACAATGAAAAAGGAGAAGGCATATCCAACAGGAAAACATAAGTTGGGGTGTTGTGCTGACTGATTGCTCTGTTCTCCTATTGGCTGTAATTTGGTGGATTTACATTTTAGTCCACCAATCACAGTTAAGTAAGGGATAGCTGGACGTATGCAATATGTACGACACCGCGATCAAGCCCCTGGGGACGCCCCCACACCTGGGAGGGCCCCTGAGGTGCGGGTGCCCCTGGGAGGGCCCCTGAGGTGCGGGTGCCCCTGGGAGGGCCCCTGTGGCTGCGGCTGCCCCTGGGAGGGCGCCTGGTGGCGACAACCGCCCTTAGGGGTGCGGCTGTCCATGGGGATGCAGCTGCCTCTGGGAGCGCCCTTGGAAGGCATCCGTCGCCCCTGCAGCGCTACCACCCGTGGGTGGGCCTTTGGGTGCGCCGCCGCCCCTGGAGGGATCCTGAGGTCACCTCATCCCCCTAAGGAGAACCTTGGGAACGCCCCCGCCACTGCTGGGATGGCCCCTAGGCACTCAGCTTGAGGGCCCCAACACTGCCCCTGGGACGTCCCCTGTGGATGCCACTACCCCTGGAAGGGCCCTTGGGGCACCATTGCCCTTGGAAGAGTCCCTGGGGGTGCCACCATCCCTTGGGGGGCCCCTGTGGGAGGGCCTCCGTTGCCCCTGGGGACGCCGCGGCTCCTGGGAGGTTTCGTGGAGGCGCCGGTGCCCCTGAGGGCGTCAACGTCCCTGGAAGGTTTCCTGGGTGCGCTGCTGCACCTGGGAATGCCACCACCCCTGGGAAGGCCCCCAGGGGTCACAGATACCCCTGAGGGCACCACCACCACTGGCAGGGTCCCTGGGTCCGCCGTTACCCCAAACAAGGGTTCCTGGGTGCGCCACCTCCTTTGGGAGGGCCCCTGGGGGCAATTGTTTTTGCATTATCTAGAACTCTGGAAGATATGACGTTAAATAAATATACCGCAATTGCATTTCCAGAGTATTATCATATCCTGAACAATGAAAAAGGAAAAAGGAGAAGACATATACAACAGGAAAACATAAGTTGGGGTGTTGTGCTGACTGATTGCTCTGTTCTCCTATTGGCTGTAAATTGGTGAATTTACACCAATCACAGTTAAGTAAGGGATTGATGGACGTATTCAATATGTACGACACTGCGATCAAGCCCCTGAGGGCGGCCCCACCCTGTGAGGTCCCCTGGGGAAGTCTCAGCATCTGAGAGGGTCCTGGGGACATCACCGCCCTTGGGAGAGCCACTGGGAAGGCCCCTAGAAGCACCAACGCCCCCGGGAGAACCCCTGGTAGCGCCGCCGCTTTTGGGAGGGCCCATGGGGTCGCCACCGCCACTGGAAGAGCCCCGAGGGCGCCACAGCCCTTGGCAGGGCCCCTGAGGGCTCCGCCGCTCCAGGGAGAGCGCCTGGGGTGCGGCTGCCCCTGTGATGTCCCCTGGGGGCGCTTCCAGTATCTGTGAGGGCTCCTGGGTGCGCTACCGTCCTTAGGAGGGCTCCTGGGATCGCCGTCGCCCCTGGGAGGGCCCCTAGGAGAACCGACGGCTCTGGGAATGCAACTAGGAGCATCGACGCCCCTGAGAGAACCCCTGGCGGCGCTGCTGCCTTTGGGAGGGTCCCTGGGGCGCCACCGCCACTGGGGGCACCACAGCCTTAGGCAGGGCCCTTGGGGGCTCCTTCGCCCCTGGGGATGCAGCTTCCTCTAGGAAAGCCCTGGGGACTACACCGCCACTGGAAGGGCCCCTAAGAGCACCGACGCACCTTGGAGACCCCTTGACAGCGCCGCCATCTCTGGGAGGGCCTTTGGGGGTGCCGCTGCCCCTGGGGTTGCCTCAACCACTGAGGAGACCCCTGGGAAAGCCCCCGCCGCTCGTGGGGGTGCAGCCACCCCTTCCAAGGTCCCTGAAGGCGCTGCTGCTCTTGAGAGAGCCTCTGAGGGCGCCACCGCCCCTGGCAGGGCCCCTGGAAGGGCCCTGGGGGTACCGCCACCTTTGGGAGGTCCCCTGGGGGTACCGCCACCTTTGGGAGGTCCCCTGGGGGCTCCACTGCCCTTGGGAAGTCCCCTGTGGGCTCCACCACTCCTGGAAGGGCCCCTGGGGGCGCTACCGCCCTGGGGAGGTTAGGGCACCACTTTTCGTGGCAGGGCTCCAGTGTGCACTTCCGCCCCTGGTAAGACCCCTGGGGGTGCTGCCGCCCCTTGGAGGGTCTTTGATGCCGCTGCCACCCCTAAGGAGGTCCCCTGGGGGCAAGCCCACCCCTGGGTGCACTACCGCCCTGGAAGGTCCCCTGGGGGCGCTGCTGCCCCTAGGGGCCCAACCGCCCTTGGGAAGGCCCCTGGAGGAACTACAAGCATCATTACAACCCTGCAATCGAATCGTGGAGCATAGATCATCATGCTCAGGAATACGTATACTGCGATTTTCAGCAAAACCTAGTGTGAATTTTAAGTTACTTTCCCTGGACATGCAAATGTTCCACATAATTTGCACAGCCTGCCTTAAAGACTACCTCTGTAGTCCTCCTATGTGGCAAAAACTCAATTGCATTTAGATGTTCACTCTTCCTTATCAATTTCTTGATCACTTTTCCACAACTTCCAAACTTGATTACCAGCTTCAGGCCCCTGTACAGTAGTTCCCACATTGAAATGCATCACCTATACCCTTGAAAGTTGAAGGTCAATAAGTTGTGCTAGGATATTCTAAAGATATATTAAAGATGGTTATAACATTATTGGTTTGCCTTTAATCTAAGTTCCAGATGAAAGTATGGGTAAAGGTGGAGTATAGAGCTAACACCTGAAGGACCACACTGATTGTGTTAATTTTTGTGAAATTGTTTTCAAGATAATATTGAATAATAATGAATGTGATAAGAGAAATACATGCCAATAACTTATTCAAACCTTACCTAATGAAACCTAATCTAGATTTACCTAACCAACTTTGTGAGAGGTAAGGTGGTTTTTACATATACTTTTTTTCTCAGAATTGAAATTTAAAGGTTTTAACTAATTAAGTAATTACATAATAACACATTAACACCAAACTCGCACTTTGGAAAGCCATAGTTGGCGAGTAATTAGCATTGAAAAATATAATTAAATATTCCAAGCGTCATTACAACCACTAATTAACCCGCAATCGAATCGTGGGCCATATATTCGGATTCAGCATACTCTGGAGTACCTACAGTATAATGTGATTTTCAACAAAATCAATTTTTTTGGCAAAAACTGTCGAAAAGGTAAGCCTTACCCCTTTGTAATTTTACGATCAATATATACTTTTTTCTCAGAATTGAAATTTAAGGGGTTTAACTAATTAATTAATTACAGAATAACACATTAACACCTCAGGCTCAATCATGGTTTACTTAATACATCCTGTCTGCACTGGCCACCGACTCTTAGCAGTCCCAGCAACACATACAGTACAGTGCCTGTTATGTAGTGAATAAGGTGTTCAAAGTGAGGACTGAGGTCTGTAGAGTTATACATTTTTACAGACCTATTTATCGGTACCGTATCAGCTACGGTACACATTGGCCTATGAAAATTAGTAATATGGGTCTACATTAATTTTCAATGCCAATCTTTATAATCTAATCAGTTTTAAAACTTGTAATGTATCAATTAAATTGGTTACAAATACTCATATTAGCATACTCATTTCTTGTGAAGTAAACGTTTAGACAACCGGACTGGAGGCTTTGACATTTTCTGATAAATGTTTTAAGATTTTCTATAATACTAAAATAACAATTACTTCAATACAGTCATCAGGTTCTCTGGTGGCTGCGAATCATAGACATATAACTTCAGTTTTGAATGGATAACTCGTAACTTGACAAGAGGCAAAAACAGTTCTCACAGATTTGGCTGGGAATTCATATACATCATCTGGGTACAATTTTAACTGCATTTAAATAAAGTTGAAGCTTTCAACATATACATACTGAATATTGAATGCTTCACCTACTGGTATGTATACATCATTTGATGCTACTCATACATGTTACATCTGTAGTATCTTACATTATTTAATGGGAGAATGACAAGCCACATGCTCAGTCTACCAAGAGCGTTTATTCTCTGTTGTTCGTCGTACAACGTGCCTAACACATTTCGTATTTACACAAGCCTAAACACTTTCTGACTTTGGTAAGAAGTAACATAATATATAATGTATATATAATCAATAAAGGCAGCATATAAACATACACATATATAACAACATCATAATTAAAAAATTACGATACAGGGGCAATACAGAATACAATTCTTTTTCTAGGGGTAACTCGCTCGTTTCATACATGTTTTACTTTTACATTTATCCTCTTCACCACTAATCGGCTCGTTAGCCGCTTTGGTGATCGGTCTCGTCTCTGATTACTTTTCATTTTCATTTATCCTCTTCACCAAAAGATCGGCTCGCGAACCGCCCGGGCGATCGGTCACGTCTCTGTCACGCACTGTTGGCAAGTACTGGGCATGCACCGGCTCCTGAGTGTACCTGAACCCGCTCCAGTGTTGGTCAAGTCTGGTCTTGAAAGAGCTCACACTCGGTGCCGTCACGACACT